TGTGTAACTGTTTTTTTCACAGCCACAGGTTTTGCTGCTCATGCAGCATAAAAGGAAAATCCACTTTTGTATCTTGCTCTCTCTGCAACCATCGCCTGTATGAATTCTCTCTGTTTTTCCTTGCACTAGGCTCTGTGTCACTGTTGTGCTTCTTCCCCCTTGAACGTGGACCTGAAGTATAAAGGCTGAGTTGGAGAAAGCCCTTTGTTGAAATTTTAATGCTTTGAGTCCTCCTGACTGGAGTCAGTTTGGGATAGTGGTGGAAGGTGCTGAGCTAGAAACCAGGAGACGGTGAGTTCTAGTCCTGTCTTAGGCACAAAGTCAGCTGGGCGATTGTGGGCCAGTCCCTCCCTCTCAGCCCTAGGAAGAAGAAGGCAGAGGCAAACCACTTCTGGAAAAAACTTGCCAAGAAAACTACACGGACCTGAGTTAACTGCCTGAAGTCTTGGAAGAAGAAGAGAAAGAAGAAAAAGCTGCAAAGTAGCCTGGGGGAAGGGGGGGGGAATCAAAGGGCCAGGTCTTCCCCCACCCCCAGTCCAATCTACTACACACTCACCCCATCCTCTCAAATCCTTACCTGTATCGAGAAAACCAAGGCAGCAATTCCCAGAGGTAAGCAGCAGCAAAGCATGGTGAAGATGGAGTAGGCCAGGTAATCCGGTGCACTGGAGGGGTAGACCGGGGTGATGATGACCGTCTGCTGAGGCTGACTCATCTGTGGTGGGTAGGCCGAGCCAGGTGAGCCATAGTAAGGAGGCATAGGGGCAGTGGCCCCTTGGCCCGTGGGAAGGGCTGATCCAGCAGGGCCAGACTCTTTGTAGGGATCTTTTTCTGAGTAGGTGGGTGGATTCGGAGAGTTCGGTTGATCGCTGTTGAAGGTTTGGTAGTTTGTGTTACTCATGTTGCTTGCTCTTCAGTTGTTCTGCAGGCTCCAGAAGAAATCACTTTGCTTTTTTCAGTTCTAGTTTCTTCTTTATGGCTGTTCTAATAAGCTGCAGGCAGAGTCCTACCCTCCCTCTCCCCCTCTCTCCACTCAGACTTTCTCCACCCTTCTTTGCCTCCTTCTTCCGCTCGTCTCCTCTTCTGGTGGATTATATTACTATTTATCTCAATTCTGGCGTCAACAAGCTTTCTGCTTCTCTGCCAACTTTCTGCTTCTCTGGTATGGTGTTGAGCAGCACAACTTCTCACTCTCCAAGCTCAACGGATGACTAGACAATAAGTAACTAAACTATGCCAGCTAATATACTAAATATACTAAAAGGGGAAAGTCCAGAAGAGTTTTATTTTTCTTGGTGTTACAGCGTTTTAGAGTCTGTTTGTGTGCCTGAACGCCCTTCCGCCTATCTATGTTTCATTGTCATGACAGCTTTCCAAGATGATATTTAAATATTTAAGCCAGTCTTTTCCCCAGGGAATAAACATGCACGCACATACTTCCTCCCTCCCTCCATATCCTAACCATATCCATTAGTTAAGATATTCCTTGGGCATACTGATGCATTTTAAGTTCAAGGATCTTTCAATAATATGCATGGTGGCTAAATTTGCATTATGAGTGTGCAAAACATGCAAGCAATTAGTTACATTGTACTCTACTTAGGGTAGCTGTGTTTTACTGCTGCAACACTATAATTTGCTTCATTTTTAAAAGTGTACTATTTTATACTTTGTTTTGGTCTGAGGCTGTAAATAAAAGTTGATTAGATTAGATCATTGGGCTATTGAATTCAGCCAGAAAATACTATAAGAGGGGCTAAAGGGATCCTTTAGTGCAGTGTTTTTCAAACTTGGCTGTTTTAAGATGTGTGGACTTTGGCTCTCAGAATGCTGGCTAGGGAATTCTGGGAGTTGAAGTCCACACATCTTAAAGTTGCCAAATTTGAAAAACACTGCTTTAGTGATACAAACAGATAAAAGTTCAGCATGCCCAAAAGTTCAAATGTCTTTGTAAGGAATGGTTAGACTCACTGCCTATTTTGCTTCTGTACCTCAAGCTTCTGCTGACATAGGAACTGTTCGGCTGAAGGTCACGTGTGGGTTGGCGGAGGAGGGGGCTGCGGTACATGCAGGGAAAGAGGCTATGGGGTGTATGCAAGCACAGGAAGGCTGGCAAGGAGAGTGCTGGTCGGTGTGTGCATGTGTGCAAGGAGGGTGCGGGCAAGGAGAGTGGGGTGTGTGTGCGTGTGTGAGTGCAAGGACACCGGGGAAAGAGGGCACAGGGTGCGTGTGAGCACAGAGAGGCCCAGAAAGCATGGTGCTGGTAGGAGTGTGCATGCTTGTGAGCACAGGGAGGGCCAGGAAGGAGGGTGCAGAGTGCTTGTGTGTGTGTGTGTGAGTGTAGGGAGGCCTGGGAAGGACGTGCAACCTTCACTGCTGGCTTCCCCACTGGCTTGTGGGAAGCTGTCAGGAAGCACTGGACGTGAGGATCATGTGACCGTGGCTGTGCGCTGGTGGTGCAGCAGCAGCAGCAGCCTGGTGGCGCTGAGGCGGCCACAACTTCCCCAAATTTCATTCCCACGGAAGTAACAAGTCCTGGCATTCTGTAAATTAGCCCATTTGAGGTCACTTGCTTCAAAAATGGTTGGCCTATGACACATTGTTTCGCCCAGCTGAAAGTAGCAAACAGACACAAGAGTTTTAGTGGTATTTAGATTAACATCCTGGAAACTGTTTGCATTAAACATGATTAATGTTTAATTACATTGTTAAATGTACCAGCACTAGGTAACTTTTAGAAATTCAAATGACATTTAAAAAAAAAGAATGTCAGGGAAATGTACTTTTAACAATGGCTTGTTAGAGGATTTATAGCTTTATATTGTAGTTGGGTACAAAGACTCTGTATATTAAAGGGATAAAAATGGATGCAGGTTCCACCTCTGCAGCCTTTAAATATATAAAGAGACAAAAACTTGAGGTTCAGAACAGCATTGTATTAATGCAGACAGTAAAGTGGATTTGAAAGAGGATTCTTAGTTATTTATCAGAGCAATGAATGGAGCAAACTATATTCATTTCTTTTTTATATATATTTAAAGTGTGCATCCTGTTTTCCTCTTCCTAAAATTGGACCCGCAGAGGTTCATTAAAAAAACTCCACATGTACAACAGATATTGTAAATGACTATGATATGCTGTACAGTAATCATATCGTACAATAGTGTATAATGGTCATCCATCTGAAAAGTCTTTGAAGAGGATTACAAAAGTTTCTTGCAAAGCAATCCCATTCAAGGATTGCTATGACGTCCAAATGGCACCAGGTAGTCACACGAACAGTTTATTGACCTGGTATTCTCTGGTGTCTTTGGTGGTGTCACCCTTATGTCATCTCCTATGAAGCAGCTAAGCCCACCATAGACCTCTTAGAAAAGAGAACAGGACTAAGTATTTCAACTTGTTTCAGCCTGCGATGGAGACAAATTGCTCCACGCTGGTAGTCAGGAAGAATAGGACACACAAATGTGAAAAGCTACCTTTGAAATATCCTGAAATGGATCAAAGCATTTTGTGATTTCAGGATGTGCTTCGAAGGTCCTTTTACTCCAGCAAGTTCCTCCTCCTACGTTGTGTTGTCTTTCCTGGTGTTCCAGCTCTCAGGTTGTACACCAATAACATGGTTTATATGTAGGTGAAGAAGTGAAGAGTGTTCTCAGCTACAATACTCATCCCTAAAGTTAGGACTACAGCCAAGCTAACACTGAGCCAACTAGGATGGGAGCCATTTGTCTATCTGCACATTCATTTACTTTCCAGTCTATCTCTCCCCATTTCCCTCCCCATGTCTTACAGGCCTTTTGCTAGCTGAAGGAGCAGCATTTTGAACATTACAGCCAGCTTTAATGAGATGTGCGGCTTCTAGAGGAATATCTTCATTCCAGATGTCCTGTTAAATGTGCATAACATATAGCTGTTGAGTCATGATCTTATTAGCCTGTGCTTTTGACATTGTCAATTATATAACTATAACCTCCGCCCTGTTGACTGCTGGGACCCAGCCCAAATATAATTATTCTTCCCTTGTTTTACAATTAATGCTGTTTGTGAGCAATGAAGCTAAATGGGATTGTATGGCACCTTTTATTTCCCAAGTTTCAGTAAAGCCAAATAAGAAGACTTGAGATGAGGCTTTTAACAGGTTTTATTGGCCAAGGAAACCACCTGGATGGCTCAAGGAGTGTTGCCCAGAACCACCCCCTGCAAAGCAAGCAACAAAGATTTTATAGGCATATTCAGATATTTCAG